CAGCTAGAACTTCCAATCCTGCGTCCAGTACAAGTGGCAAAGCGGGCCCCTCAGCCTTGTGCTTTGCCTTGAAGGAAAATCTTCCCATCTTCTCCTACCCACTGTGATGTTGCTATAGATTCTTCATGTGTAGTTCTTATTATGTTGACGTCATTCCCTCCTGTTTGTTGTGTCTGTCATTAAAGAATATTGAGTTTTGTCAGATGCCTTTTCTGTGTTAACTGTGATGGTCACATGGTTTCCCTTCACTCTGTAAAGGTGAGGTATCACACTGGTTGATTTCCATGGTTGAACCATCCTTGCATTCTAGGATCAAACCCCAGTAGATCACATGTAACCTTGTTAACATGCTGCGGAATCTGGTTTGCTAGCATGGTGCTCAGGATTTTTGCACCAATGCTCATAAGGAATGTTGGTCTGCAGTTTTCCTCCAGTGTCTCTGTCTGCCTTTGGAATTGGGGTGTTTACTTTCATGGAATAAATTGAGGAATGTTCTTTCCTCTTCAATTTTTTTTTAACTCTGAGAAATATTATTTTTTGTTTTTTTAACTATTTATTTTTTAGGTGTAGATGGTCACAACACAATGCCTTTATTTTTTTTATGTGGTGCTGAGGATCAAACCCAGGTCCCGCCTACGCTAGGCGAGCGCTCTACTGCTGAGCCACAGTCCCAGCCCCAATTTTTGTTTTCTTGTAAATATTTTAGAATTTATTGGTAAAAGCACCAAGTCCAGGGAGATTTTCAATCACTGATCCAACCTCCTATTTCTTCTTGGTGTAGTCATGGAGGTTTTGTGTCTAGGAATCTGTCCATTTCATCTAGGTCACACAATCTGTTGGCGTACACTTGCTCACAGCTATCTATCTTCTAATTCTTAGAATTGGTAGTAACAGCCCAACTTCCATTTCTGATTTTAGTAACCTAAATCTTTTCTTCACTTGTGTGTGTTAACCAGGGGCTCACACACTCTAGGCAAGTGCCCAACCACTGAGCCGCATCCCCAGCCCTTTTAACATCTGGGACAGAGCTTTCTCAGTCTACCTAGTTAAAGGCCTGTCAGTTTTATTCTTTTCTAAGTAGTGATTTTTGTGTCATTTTTCTATTATTTTCCTGTTCTGTTCCATCTGGCTGTACTCTGACTTTATCACCACTTCCCTTGGCTTCAGGTTGGCCTCCCTCTGGGCTGGTGAGTATAGGTAATAGGTCCTCTTCCTTTATTAAAGTTTGGTGGTCACCCGAGATGACACACCTGACATCTTAGTATCTGCTTTATTTTTTCAGCACCAGAAGAATCTAGAGCCTGGCCCACCAAGGTACCCCCGCCAACCCCCATCCTTATCTTGAGACGGGGTCTCCCTAGCTAGCTGCCCAGGCTGGCTCCCGGCTTGCCCTCCTCCTGCCTCAGCCTCCGAGCAGCAAGGGTGGCAGGTGTGGCCCCGCAGCCCTGCACTCCCCTCCCACCTCTGTGCGCCCCCTACAGACCTCACGTAAAGCTGTTCTCAACTCGGAAAGGTGCTGCTTTTCTGTCCGTCCGTGTGGACTCACTGCCACAGGTCTAGGGACGAGCCTCTGGCTGCACAACTCCAGGGGTGCTGCAGGGTCGCTCTGCTGGGATGAACAGGAGTTGTTGTCTGAAAACGTCGTCTTACCCTATTTTTTGTGGAGACTCTTCCCTGGGCCTGTGGATCTAGATCCAGGTGCTCTTCTCCCAGCACTTGCAGGGTGTCGTCCCCCTGTTGCAGTGACACCAGTTTTAAAGTTGGCTGCCACTGCACTCTTCCTTGAAGGGGGTCTTTCACCCCGTTTTTTTTTTTTTTTTTTTGGTATAGGGGGTTGAACTCGGGCACTTGCCACTGAGCCCCATCCCAGCCCTATTTTGTATTTTATTTAGAGACAGGGTCTCACTGAGTTGCTTAGGGCCTCGCTTTTGTTGAGGCTGGCTTTGAACTTGCGATCCTATCTCAGCCCAAGCCGCTGTGACTACAGGCATGCGCCACCATGCTTGCCTTTCCCCCGGTTTTTAAGATTCCCTATCTGGTTCTCGGAGCTTTGCTGTGATGTGCCTGGTGTAGGCCATTTTAATTTTGGGGCTGCTGGGAATGGAACCCAGGGCCTCGCCCATTCTAGGCAAGCATTCTGCCACTGGGCTGCACCTCAGCCCTTATCATGGTGCCCAGCCTAGTCCTATTTTAGTGAGTCTGATTTTTTAGAGTGAGTCAAACTGTATATATGCACAGGTGTAGACACTATAGTCTTCTGACAGTAAAACCAAAAGGCAGGATGGGGCAGGTCACCCCAGTGGTTAAGCAGGAGATAGCTGGGGTGGTCCAGGCCTGTGAGGGCTGCTCTGTGGTCTCACTGGGAACCTCAGAGCGTTTTCTGCCTCCTCCACACCTGGTTGTCTCCTGGAGCAGTACCCATGCAGGGCAAGGCAAGATGCCAGGTTGCTTCTGAGGCTCTTCTCTCTCCAAGACCTTGCTCCTGGAGTCCTGGTGGTCCCATGGGTCCCCAGAGCGCCAGGCCCTGGTGCCAGCTCTGGCTCCCACCTTTTGATAGGTTCACAACCAGGAAACCAGCAAGTGCCCAACAGGAACCACGTGGTGAACACGGAATCCGCCTTCACTCAAGTCTCTTCCCGCCCGACCCTGTCTCCTCAGACCCCGGTGCCTTGGCTGTTCTCCGCTGTCCTCAGAAAGCACCTGGGGCTGGGGTGGGGCTCAGCGGCAGAGCGCTGGTCCAGCACAGGCAAGGCCCGCATGACCCGGAGCACAGCAGAGAGAGCAAGCTCTAGCTCCCGGGAGACTGAGCCCCGCTGCTGCCTCAGGTCAGGAGGACAAGGGGCAGGGTGCTGGCTTCAGATGACGTCCAGGTGAAGAGCAAGTTATCACGTGTCAGCACTTTTACTCACTGAGACCAGACGGTTCTGAGGCTCATGCAAAGGGCTGACGGTACCCGAGACCTGAGAACTTCAGGAACCTGCCCAGTGTCACCAACGGCCCACAGTTCGGGTTTGAGTGGAGAGCGGGGGTGGGAACGGCCTGGGCTCCTGTTTATGTGCTCGGCGGGCCCAACAGTGCCGGTCCTCACCTTCCTGCAGGACTGCCAGCCCCGGTGCCAGGTTTCCGCCAACACCCACTGGCCGTGCATGCAACACTTGAGATAAAGACTCCCAGTGTCACTGCACAGGGACGGACTGGTGTTGCTGTTTTCCCGTCCCTACACCAACTGTGGCTCACAGCCCTTCAACAGACAGTGCAGAAGAGGCGAGAGCTCTGAGCACTGGGTGGAAGGCACCAGCTCAAGGCAGAGCAGCCCCACAAGAGCTCCAGCGGGGGCCACTTCGCAGCATGAGGACAGGCCTGGGCAATTCTGAGCAGAGAGCTGCACCCCATGGTCCACGAAACTTCACCTGGAAATGCAGGCGGCGCTGCGCAGGCGGCACTCCGCCATTCCTGCCTGGACCCCCGGCTCTGAGCAGGGACACGTGCAGGTGAACGCTGCTGCACCCAGCACCAGGCCAGCCCTGCAGACGGGAGGCCCAACCTGCTGGATCAGGGCGGGATGCAATCCTAGCAGCTCCCTGGGCTGCCTCGCTCTAGAGGGGGACCTTTGGAGCTCAATACCCCCAAATTCTAAGGTTCTTCCCTTCAAAACATAATGCCAAGAAGAATGGGGTGGCAGGCCAGCTGTGGACACTGCTGACCAGGAGCCTTCAGCCCTCCTTCCTGCCTGGAGCCAGAGGGTGGACTGCAGGGAGCAGTCCACTGACACTCCTGCCATCGTGCTCACCTCCTCAAACGCTGCTGCAGGAACCCATCCCTCTGGCCCATGTCCACCGCCAGGGGTCATGGTTTCTGTGCCCTGACCCTCAAGGAGCATGCCTGTGCGGCTACCCTACAAATAAAGAGCCTGTGTCCACCAGCACTGGAAAACTGCAAATAAAAAGTTTAATTTCAGAAACTGAATCCATCATTTATAAATACACTAAAGCACAGTCCACTCGAATTGAGAGCGAGCGAAGGTACAGTATTCAACAGAAGGACAGCTTCCTAGGGGGCCATGGCAGAGGAGCGTGTCGCCCCACCCACAGCACCCAGTGGTCTGAAGTGACGTAGAACAGGAACCTTTTTCAGATGTTAAAGCAAACACTGACAACTGAATCTGACAACTGATAATTTCACTCTGATGTCCTGGGATTCTAAAATACCCCAGTGATGGCTGAATCTTCCCTATTATTAAAAAAAAAAAAAAAAAAAAAAAAATGTAAGAAAGAAAACGTTTGCCAAATGAGCCTTTCAACTAGAAAAATTCTGGATTCTTACTACCTATAAAAAAAAAAAAAAAAAAAAAAAAATCTAAACGCCTAAGGCTAGCCTCACCACTGTAGCCTGCCAGACACCCCCGTTGGTCACCACTGCCTCCAGGGCCCGGCCGTGGTCCCAGCACCTGGGTCAGTGCGCACAGAGCTCCACTGCTCGGGGACGCTCAGTCAGAGGCGCCAGATGCGGTCAACGGGCCCCTGTTGCACTGCCACACTCTGCACTGGCTGAATCCTTAGCAGGGACACACACGGGACTCTGAGCTCAAGGAGTAGGACAGACAGTCGGGGACCTCTGAGTGAATGAACGGACCGTGCAACCCTGAATGCAAAGACCTGAAACGGAACGTGTCCGTGACCACGTCACTGCAACTGCACACTCCGCGAGTCACCCAAGTACAGTTTTGTTTTCAAACGCTTTGTCTCTGTGGTAAACAGTTAGCTTCCAGAATATTCTCTCCACTCCGACACATTTTAGAGCCTGCAGTTAAAACTGCTCAGTCAGGATGGCTTAAGCTCCACCTCCTATTTACAGGTTTCATTTCACAGCTACAAAAGCTGTTTTGTTGCAATTAAAGCAATATTTAACTAAAATACAGTACCTGATTCATGGTTTTTACACAATTGAATAAAAAGCCTACAGGATAAAACTGTTTACATCTTATCTCCATTCTAGGAACACACATCTCTGACCCCTAACTTTTAAAAAACGCTGCAGTCATGAATTAAAACCTGATCACCCCACTTCACAACCGACGAGACGGGCTGCTTCCAGGGGACTCCCAACACGCTGCGCCCTGGCCCGACAGGAGTAAGGCACGTGTGAGGTTACGGTGCGAGCCGGCGGGTGGCCCCGGATGCTGGCCTGGTGTCCCACCTGGCCCTGTTGGGCGGGTCACAGCCAGCACTGCCAAGAGCACGTCTGGTCGGGCGACTCCGTCGTGAGTTCAATACTGAAAGTAGATCAAGGGAAGATTCACTTTCAAAAAGATAAGTTTTTCAAAATGCTCCATCATGAGCCGGGGCTGGCCAAAGCTGCCATTCTCTGTGGGCGTGCTGAACAGCTTTTCCGAAGGGACGGTACTTGGGGGACAGCCCAAAAATCTGACAGCCAAAGTGGACAGCCCAGGCCAGGATGACCGCTTGAGGTTCCAATAGGCAAGTGGGTCACAGCTGTGCTCCAACACCTCCTCCTCCAGGTAAGCGAGCACCATGTCTTCCGGCAGCCTCTCCCGCCGTTCTCGCCTCTCCACCTTGGCCACCAGCGACCACAGGCTCTCCCCTCCGCCAGAATCTCTCGACGGGGGCCCTGAGTCACAGCCATCGGAGGCGGCTGTGTCCTCTGAGGTAGAATTCAGTATTTCTAGCTCCCTGATTAGATCCTGCCTGTACTGCTCCGCCTCCTCCTCCGTGAACAGGGAGGCTTTGTAGCGAGGGTCCAGCAGCGTGGCGAAGACGTACCTGGGGTCGTGGAGGGTGGCAGACAGGCGGCTCGCCATGGCTTCCTTCAGCGACTTCAGCATAGTGTCGATGCCCATCGTCTCTCCAAAGAGCATCTCGACCTTCCTGCTGAGGATGTGGATCATGGGGATGACCTGGCTCAGAGTGGACACGTGGGCACTCATCTCCCGGCTGGCAGCATCAAAGGGCCTCAGCGCGTGACACACGGACTGCATGACCTCCCACTGGTCGCAGCTGATCAGCTCTCTGAAGCTGCACTCGATGGACATCTCGTTAATGGCCCTCTTCTGCTCCAGCAGGCGCTCCAGCATGTGCAGGGACGTGCTCCACCTGGACGGCACGTCCTGGACAAGGTGGTGCTGTGGCAGCTCATACTCTCGCTGCAGCGCGGCCAACTTCTCCCTGGCCGTGGGGGAGCGCTGGACACGCTCACACAGCTTCCGGGCGGCGCTCAGCAGGCTCTGCACCATCCTCTGGCTCTTGATGGCTTCACTCACGATCAGGTCCACTGTGTGGCTGAAGCAGGGCACGCTCGAGTGCTCTGCCTCGGTCAGAGTCTTGCCGATGCTCGGGTTGTCAGTGACCGTGATGCCCACTTGCAGGCCAATGGATGTCACCCAGGCTTCCCACCAGCACTCCAGCTGCTTCTGGATGCTGCCACCGCCATGGTCACAGTCAATCTGCGACACGTCCAGAAGTGCTGAGCAGTGGTGGTCCTCGCAGTGCGGGCGGGCCGCGGATGCGAAGGTGACCCAGTGGGCAGTGAGGGTCAGGTACTCACGGCTCTGGGTGCCAGTCCAGATTCCCGATGTGAAGTGGACCATGCCACTCTCAGCCTCCCTCAGCTGGGACAGGACCATCTGCTTCACGCTGTCGTACATGCCCGGGATGGCCGTGCTGCAGAAGTAGGAGGGCGGGGGCACGGAGTACTGGGGCCTCAGGTACCCCAGCAGCCTGTTGAAGCCAGCGCTGTCCACGAGGGAGTAGGGCTGGAGGTCCAGTGCAATCATCTCTGCTATCAGGCTGGTGATTTTTTTGGCAACTGGGTGAGAGTCGTAGAACTTCTCACTGGGGTCATCGAAGGTGGACGTGCCCGACAACTCTGTGCTCAGTGGTCCCCGGACTCCTGGAGAGCGGGACAGGGTGGTGTCCGGGTGGACATCGGCCTTGAGCACGTGGCCGTGGAACCTCTGTAGGTGCCTCAGGAGGCAGCTGGTGCCCAGGTTGGTGGGCTTCTTGCCCCTGCTGATGGTCCGGCCACAGTGCAGACACACCACCTTGGTGGAGTCCGCAGAGCAGACGGAGAAGTGGTTCCAGAGCTTGGAGGTCTTCTTGCTGCTGACGGGAAACACGGCCTGGTGGCTCCTCCTGACCACGGCGGGCAGGGCCGGCGTCCTGGAGGAGCAGCTTTCTGCAGAAGCCAAAGTGGCATACGGAGAGTTGGCCAGACTGGCACCCAGGAAGCCCTTCTGGGTCCCGACCACCTCGGGGTGGCGTCGGTACAGATGCCGCATCAAGCAGCTGGTGCCCACATCCCCCTTCTTCCCCCGGCTGATGACGCAGCCACAGTAGCGACACACGGCCTTCAGACTGTCCGTGGGGGCCAGGGAGAAGTGGTGCCAGACCTCCGACTTCAGCCTCTTCATGACCTTCTTGTTCTGCTGGAAGACGGCACCAGGCTCGCACCTCCTCGGGCTCGACCCGCTGGCCTGCTGCTTCTCAGGAGAGGCACCCACAGAAGCCTCGCCCACGTCCTCAGAGGACGACAGCATGGACATGTCCGTGCCCAGTGTGTCCCCAGGCAGGTCCTCGGCCAGCCTGTCTGGGGACGAGGAGGCCGAGGGGCACTCCTGGACCAGCTTTCCGGGAGAGGACGACATGGAGTCCGGCTCCCCGTCTGGAGGCAGCAGGGTGGGCAGCAGGGTGGGGGGCGTGGGGTACAGGGGCGGGATGCCCGAGCCGCCCCCGTTTTCCTGTAGCACGATGGAGCGGTGTGCTCTCCACATGTGCCGGATGAGGCAGCTGGTGCCCAGGTCCTTCCCGTTCTTGCCCCTGCTGAACTCGTTCATGCAGTGCACGCAGACGGCCTTGGAGCTGTCCAGCGGGGACAGGTAGAAGTGCTTCCAGACGGCCGACCTCCTCCTGGACCCCGATGTGCTCCTGGGAAGGCGAAGGCTTCTCTCCGCCATGCCCTCTGCAGTCTCGTCGTAGTGGAGTGGGGCAAGGTGGGGAGAGGACCCCGCCAGGGCCTCCTCTCTGCTGTACTTCAAAGTGACCGGCACATCAGAGACCTCAGAAGAGACCACGGACCCGGGTTCCTCCTGCAGGCGGTCAGGGGACGGGATTGTAGCTGCCATCTTGTGGGCAAGTCTGACGGGCGAGAGTGTGGAGGCCAGGTCCCCGACGTCCGCGGGCTGCGGAGGAAGCAGGAGCGAGGGTGAGGGCAGGGAGGAGCTGGCGGACACACTCCCGTTCTCCTGCGCCAGCTTGGTGGGGTGCGCCCGCCGCACGTGCCTCATGAGGCAGCTGGTGCTCAGGTCCTTCTCGTTCTTGCCCCTGCTGAACTCCTTCATGCAGTACCGACAGATCGCCTTGGTGCTGTCTCGGGGGGAGATGAAGAAGTGCTTCCACGCTGGCGACTTCTTCCTGGAGCCGATGTGGCGGCTGGAGAGCAGGCTCTGGGCCACGGCCTCCATGGCCACGCTGTACAGCGTGCTGCTGTACTGGGAGAGCAGGGCCCCACAGCCATCCTCACCCTCGGCAGGGAAGCAGGGGCCCCCCGCCCGGCCCTCCGCCTGCTCCTCCCCACTGTCCGTGTGCCTCACGTCCTCCTGCTCACCCTGGAAGTCCACTCCTTCCAAACAGCGGCTGGGAACTGGATCATCTTCTTCCTCCTCTATTTTGAAACTTATTTTACTAGAAACACAATCGCTATCCCCTCTGGGATGAGAGTCCTGGTTGTCCTCCATGGCCAACCATAACTACCCCAGCTCCTTCCTCATGCTAGTGTCTCGGGTCAACGGAGAGCTGGTCTGAGTGCCCCTGTGCGCCGGCCCAGCATCACCGTCACCCTGTCACAGCCGTTCCGTCTCTAGGCTGTTCTTGTGAGTGCTCCTCACTGGGGCTCTGCTGCCGCGGGCCTGGCCGTGGGGATGCTCGTCTGCACAGGGGAGACTGGCTGCGGGTCTTGAAGTCAGGGTCCCCACCACCTCGACAGCAACCACAGCCCTCCTGCATGTCCTATAAGAGAGGACAAATTAAGCACAGAGGAAACAAAACATTTCAAGTTCACACTGGCATGAATACGTGGGCCTACGGACGGGCGGACGGAGAGGCTGCAGTGGAACAGGGCAGGAGAAACCTGTTCCTGACACCCCGCAGCCCCCCTACAGCTCCAGCACCTGCTCTGCCAAGGAACAAACGCAGCACACACACAGCAGGCAGAGCTCAGGCCCATGGGTGGCAAGCCCCGGCACTAAGGGGTCACCTCCCCCTCCACCTGTGGGTTCACCAGGGCCACCCAGACTGAAGGCTGAGCTCTGTGAAACTGACTCACTGTACCCAGACGTAGAAGCCCACACCCTTCAGACCTAAGACAGTCCACCAGCCTGTGAAATCGTGGAGACCGACCATGCAGGGTGGAGATGCCAAGGGTGACGGGGTGTGGCGGGCAGGAGTGGGGATGTGCGGTAGGGAAGTTTAAAAAGCAGCAGTGGGCCCAGTGCTGGCAACCAGGCAGAGACGCCAGGCAGACCCCCTTCCAGTGCCCAGCACAGTAGTGGGAGGGTTCTCAAGGAAGCTGCAGGAGCCACATCCCTTGGTTTCCAGACTGCCATGCTCCTGAGTGACAGTACTAAACCCTTAGGGCAAGCAGGGTACTGGGCCACAGGTCAGGTCAACAAGACCTGACAGCCTCACCAGGAGAAGGCCCCGTGGCACCAGAGGCACAGAGCAGCCAGATCAAACCCAAAACAAAGGCTAGGGTAGGGCCTGGTCACCAAGTGTACTCAGCACACAGGAGGCGCAGGTTCAAGTCCTGGCGCCATGGAAGAAAACACTTAAAACACAGTGGTGCACATCTGTAATCCCAGAGGGTCAGGAGGCTGAGGCAGGAGGATCCTGAGTTCAAAGCCAGCCTCTGCAAAAGTGAGGCCCTAAGGAACTCAGTGAGACCCTGTCTCTAAATAAAATACAAAATATGGCTGGGGATGTGGCTCAGTGGTTGAGTGTCCCCAAGTTCAATCCCCTGTCCCCACCCCACTAAAGTTACAAGTCAGGTTTCTACCAGCACCTCACTCCCAGACACCAAGAGGAGCGACGCGGGTGCTCACCCAGATAAACCCAGGGAAGCTCACAACAGTGGGATGCGCCACAAAGCAGAAGCAATCCAGGCCCAGCGCCTCCTTTTCGAGGCTCGTCCTGCAGCCACAGAGGAGTGCTGGTGCGAGCTGCACACGCCCTGCAGGGAGCCATGGAGTGGCCCCAACAGGACCCAGCAGGACAACATGCCCTCAGGGGCAGCAGGGTGCCTGAGAAACTGGCCACTGTCAACCACAGGCCAGGTGAGGCCCACTGTCCTGTCCACACTGGCACATGGGAGATCTCCAAAAGAAAAAGACTCAAGATTACAGAATAATAAAAATAAATGCAGGGGCTGGGGTTGTGGCTCAGTGGCGGAGCGCCTGTGCTATAGAACAAATAAGTAAGATAAAGGCACTGTGTCCACCTACAACCAAATGTTAAAAATTCCTTTTAATATTTTAACAAAAAGGATAATACCCCATGACCAAGTAGGTACTTCCAAGGCCTCAAGGCTCATTTAATACTCAAAGATGAGTCCTTCTAGGCAAGTCTGAGAGTGGGCAGGAGAGGCAGACGGTCAGGAGGCAGGCAGGGTTCCCTGGAGACTGACAGACAGAAGTTCACAGGTGGCAGCAGGAGCAGGGCCAGAGGGGAGCTATGGGGCAGCCAGGACTCAAGCTGGTGTGGGCAGTGAGGGCCCCACACGGCAACTCCCATCCACAGGGGAAGCCACGAGAGAAAAGCCCCAGGGCGACTCAGATGTCTGCAGCCAGGTCGGGGAACCTGCACAAATAAGTCTCATGCTGAGGGTGAACAGGTCACTTCAACAGAGGCACAGGGCCTCGCCAGGCGAGAAGCAGTGAGCCTGCTAAGGCACAGCCACAGCCTCCAGTGCCAGGAAGGGGCCTCCACCAGGTGCATGGCGCCTGGTCAGCGTCACACTGCCGTGAGAGCTCAGGGCTGTGAGGAGGGACAGAGGCAGGCAGCCAGGAAGGAAGCAGCAGACCTGCACCCACACCTGACGTTAGGAGGCGAGACATCACAAGGAGCCTACGCCCAGCACAGTGAGTTTGGAGAGTCACAAGACACTGGGTTAATACACAGGAAGCAACTGGGAAAAGCGATTTTAAACATTCCATATATAATATGCAAAAATTATGAAATTGAGAAAGGAATGTTTAAAATGTGAAAACTACAAAACATGGCTGTGAAAATCAAAAATAAATAAAGAGAAACATGCCAAATTCACGGATAAGAAAACTCAACATTGATAAGACATCAATATTTTCCCAAGTTGATCTATAAATTCATCATATTCCTATTAAAATCTCAATGCTTTTGTGCAATAGCCAATAAGCAGAGTCTAAAATTTTTGTGGAAAGACTTCTCAGGAATAAATAAAATCACTCTGCAGAGGAAGAGGCAGTGGGAAGTGAGTCCTCACCCAGGCCGCAGGAGGGCCGTCCAGGCTCACCTCCCCCACCGGGAACACCCAGGCACCTGGGACCCCCGCACAGGCCTTCCAGGCACTCGTGGGAGCAAGCACAGGATGGTGGTCACATACGTGCCACACTGGTGACATGAGCCTGCAAGGTCCCAGCTTGGCACTTGAGGCACACGAGCAGAGCCTGGTGGTCTTGCTGAGCAGCCCAGCTGGGCCTGGGGACAGAGCACCAGGAAGGAGCACCAGTGAAGAGAGCCACAGGGCGGCCACACCACTGAGCTCTGACCAGTTAGGAGGCCACCTGTGAAGAGCCAACGTGAAAATCAAGTGGGACAGCAGGAGCAAGGGTTGTGAACACGGGGATCCCCCCAACAGAATCGCAGGCCTCAGAAGGGCATGGGCCTGGAAGTGGGGTCTGCAAAGCCACTTGGGAGCTACCCTTATGAAGCACAGAGCAACTGCAGCCCACCTGCGACCAAGGCAAGTCTCAGAGGTATTTAATGTGGAATTAAAAAATCCTGCACCCAATAAAGTTCAGTTAAAAAGCTGACGCCAAACACAGACCACCAGGCATGCCGGAAGCTCAAGGCAGGGCCTGGGTCCAAACAGACCAAACCAGTAGACAAGAACATCAGGACACCCCACGTTTGAGGAATTGAGTTATTAAAATGAGAAGAATGGAAGAAATTTTTAAAAAGGTCCAAATAGAATTCACACAGCTGAGGGGCTGAGGATGTGTCTCAAGCGGTAGCGTGCTCGCCTGGCAGGCGCAGGGCGCTGGGTTCGATCCTCAGCACCTCGTAAAAAGTAAAATAAAGATGTCGTGTCCACTAAAAAATAAATAAATAAAAAAGAATTTACACAGATGAAAGATGGAGCATCTGCAGTTGAAGGTCTGAAGCTGCAGGCGACAGCGGACATCCAGAACACACAGCTGCAGACCCCACCAAGCCCGGGTCAGAGGCAGGCCAGAACGTGAGCGCACAGGTGGCCAGCAAGCCCGACACCAGGAAAACCCCAGAGAAAGCCACAAGGCCACTGCACAGCTGCTACTTTTTTTAAAAAAGAAAAGTGCTGGAGGCTGTGGACAAGAGGAGCCCCCCTCGCGGCTCCCAAGAGGCGGGAGGAAGTCGGTAGTGCTCTAGGAACTCCAGCCCCACGCGCGTGCTCCCAGCGGCACTCTTCACCACAGCCCCAGGGGAAGGCCACCTGCCTGTCCCTCACCCCTCTGGCACGCGGTCCAACTCAAAGGGGGGATCTCCAAGGACGCTGTGCCCAGGGAAGCAAGCTGGCTTTTGGTGACCAGCAGCATGACTCCTCTGCACAAGGTGGTTCTGGGTGCAAAAGGCCCAGTTTTGGAAACAGAGCTGATGGCCGCACAATACTGTGAGCTCTTTAAAGCCACTGATTTATAGACGCCAGAAGAATTAAGAGGGAGAATTTTATGTTGTGTACATTCCACCACAATTTTTAAAAATTAAAGAGGAAGAAACACTTTTTCTGACAGCTGAGATAATTTACCATTAGCATACCTGAAAAATGAGCAATAGAAAGTTCTTCAGGAAGCTGGGCGCAGTGGCACACGACTATAATCTCAGCCTCTCAGAGGCTGAGATGGGAGAATTCCAAGTTCAAAGCCAGCCTCAGTAACTGCAAGGTGCTGAGCAACTCGGTGAAACCCTGTCTCTAAATAAAATGGAAAATAGGGCTGGGGATGTGGCTCAGTGGTCGAGTGCCCCTGAGTTCAATCCCTGGTACCAAAAAAATAAAGTATTGTATCCATCAAAACTGAGGGAAAAAAAAAAGTTCTTCAGGAGCAAGAAAATGATCAGAGATGGAAATTTAGATTTACACAAAGCAGGAAATATAAATGGAGGCTGGGGGCAGTGGCATGTGCTGCTAGCCCCAGCTACTTTGGAGGCCGAAGCAAGAGGGTCGCTTACACAGTGAACTGTGGACAGATAGGTCAAAGGGGAATTTTTACCATTTTCAACAATGTCTCTACAATATAAACAATCTACTTCAAACAATTTCCTGAGCAGCTTGCAGTACACACACAGGTGGAAACCACGCGTGGCTGCAGTGTCAGGCGGGTGGCACCCACACATCCAGCCAATCGCCAAGAGTATGGGGGACTGGTGAGTCACAGGGGCGTGTTAGGACACAACAAATGACACAGAGATACAGTGAAGACCAGAGTGGAAATCAGAGGGAAACACCGACCCGAAGAGCAGGGGAACGGGCAGCTGCGGGCTCCTGAGGGGTGCTCACTGGCGACTGTGATCTGCACCCCCACACCCCACCTTGCACTCTCCTGCTAAATGCTGAAGAGCAAAAGTCCCTGCTCCAATCCAGCCTACCAGTTTGCTTTCAGTGGACGGTGCTTCTGGGTCCTGGTGCCTCTGCTCTTCCTGGCAGTCTCCTCACAACCTTACAGCTCACACTACATCTCCGAAGGGTTCGGCTTCTTTTTTTTGCACAAGAAATCTAACTG